ATCAAACTTAATTTTTTTTTTTTTTTTTTTTTTGGAAAGCTCGCGAGCTCACAGGCCGACTCGGGCAAAGCCCGTGTCTCCAAAATGGGGCTCGTCTTGAGCCTAGGCTCGGGTCTACCGAGCCTTGAGCCGAGCCGGCTTGGGCTTTTCCCGAGCCAGCGAATCCGATTGCCATCCCTACAAACACCTTGTGGATACTTATTAAATTTTTTTAGAGAATTTAAATCTTATAGATTTCAGTCAACACAGCATGGTGATAAATGGAAGAAAAAACCAATTCTTAATAATAAAATAAAAAATAAAATATTATATAAAAAGATTCTAAAAACAGGAATAGAAATGAATATAGAAGAAATCATTGAACAATTACAAAAAGTTTATGGAGAAAATTCATTATTATTTTGGAAATCATATGACCCAAAAGTCAAAATAGAATTAACAGAAAATGTTATAATAAAAGTAAGACCAATGATATATACAATAGAAGATACATAAAAATTTAAAAATCAGATAAAAAAATTGTTAGAACAAAAATTTATTAGACCTAATAATGGATCTCATAGTAGTCCAGCATTTATGGTTATGAAATACTCTGAACAAGTTAGAGGAAAAGTTAGAATGATTATAAATTATAAAGAATTAAACAAATATACTAAATTTGATGGTTACTTTCTACCAAATAAAGAAGTACTAATAAATTTTGCAAAGAAGATAATATACAATATACTGTATTTAGCACACCTCAAGAAAAATATGAATGGTTAGTTATGCCATTTGGTTTGAAAAATGCACTACAAATATACCAAAGAAAGATAGATAATATATTTAAAAAGTTTAATGAATTTCTAATAGTTTATATTGATGATATATTAATATGTTCTAATAGTAAAGAAGGGCATAAAAATCATTTAATTCAATTTATTAATGAATGTAAAAAAGAAGGAATTGTACTATCTAAAAAGAAATCTATAATAGAAAAACAAGAGATAGACTTTCTTGGATTATCAATAGATAAAAGAGGGATAAAATTACGGACTCATATATCCAAAAAAATAGAAAGTTTTTTAGATAAATTAGAATCCAAAAAACGAATTCAAAATTTTTTAGGATGTTTAAACTATGCAGAAGAATTTATTGAAAATCTTTCTGAGAAAAGACATAAAATCTAAATTTTACTTAGAAAAACAAATACTAAGGGATGGAATGAAGAACATACAGAAATAGTTAAATCATTAAAAGAATAATATAAAAATTTACCAAAATTAAGATTACCAGATGAAAAAGATAATTTGATTGTTAATACTGATACCTCAGATAAATATTGGGCATCAATATTAAAAACAGATCTTAATGAAATTTGTAGATATTCAAGTGGAACTTTTAATCAAGTAGAAATAAATTATATTACTCGTGAAAAAGAATTACTAGCAATTATTAGAGGAATAAAAAAGTTCTCATTGTTTTTATTATCCAAGAAATTTATTGTTGAAACTGATAATTCTCAAGTTGCAGGATTAGTCAGGAATAAATTACCATCAGAAGCTTAATACAGAAGACTCCATAGATGGCAAGCTTATTTAGCATTTTATAATTTTGATATAGTCCATATTAAAGGAGTTAATAATTTTCTTGAGATTTTCGCAGCAGAAACATAGATTTTGCTGATGGATAAAGCTAAGGCCATGGAGTTATACCAATTCATTCTACACATACAAGAAAAGACAAATTTTCTTAAAGAAGAATATGAAGATACAAGTTCTGAAGCAACCTAAATTTCAGACTTGTTCAACTCAAATATGAAAATATTGTTGAATATCACTATTGAACATCATAAATATGTCATTGAACTCAAAAATCAAGTTGATGCTATTGTAGTACAATTAAAAATATACTGTTTGAAACAGATATACCAAAGAGCTCAAAAATAAGTTTTCCAAATCAATACCAAACAAGTACAGTTGGAAGCAACAGTGGACCCAGACGCGACAACATACCAACTGATAATAAAGGAGATTCCATTTCTGTATCATCAACCAAGAAAGTTATGATACATAGAGATAAAAGAGATACCAAAACAATTAGCATCATAGATGAAGAACATAAAATCCCTTTAAATCCAAACGATGAAAAATATGTCGAAATAGTCAAAATCACTTATGAAATAAAAATAAGTGATTCATATTTCATTTCTCCAGGAAGTTTATCCCAGAATAACAGTCATGGAAGGAGGTGACCCTTCATTTATAAAAATCATGACAGATTATGGATTTATGGATTTGATTTATCCAGGAAAAGATTTTATTGAAATTTCAAAGTTTGATGACATATTCATTAAGGAAGTATTCAGATTTGCCAAGGGAAGGAAGATATTTTTAAAGTTCTATTCAATCAGTCTAGATTATGATGGAGTTGTTTACTATCCAGTTGAACACATAATCTCAATTGGATATGTTGCAGCCAATTTCCAAATTGATATTACAGAAAATAATAGAAAAGTCCCAACAGTGACAAAATCATGGATCAGACATAGAAGAGCATTTGAAATTAAAGCCATATACAACATTGTCAAAAATTTGTTTAATAAAAAATTTTCGTGCTTATGCCAATATGAAAATTGGATGCTGGTATCCAATGGAGGATATTTAAAGGACTATATTACAAGATTTGATATACATCAATTTCTAGGATGTCCTACCACTATAAAAGAATCCTGACAGCTAAGGGAGTGCCCTAACTGCATGTGAAGAAATAAAATAAGAAGACAAAGCACCTTTTGACAAATGTGTATGAAGGACAATAATACTATATGTAAAGACATTGAAGATAAAGAGCAATAATAGAAAAAAGATGCTCTTTTGATAAGAAAAGTTGAACCAACATGTGAAGATGTAAGTCCAAAGAAGAAAATAGAAAGGCAAGAGTGCCTTTGCTGATGTAATCGATGATATAATAGAATCTCAAAACTTGTATAAATAGAGACATTACCATAGAAGAAGATCATCTCATCCTATTTTAAATTCTCGAGTTGTAAGCAATAGCCTATTCTCAATTTGAAAAACCGATTTTTCTAGAAATCCCTTTGTACCAAATATAAGTCTTGTATCAATCCTAATAGAAATAAAATTTCAATATTCTGATATCAATATGAGTTTCTAAATCAATTTCCCATAGATTCTTGAAGGATCTAATAGAAAGTTTCCTTATTTTTTTGGCAAAAAGAGAGTTTTTCTTTAACTGAAGTTTAGAATTTTATTCTTTAAAAACTGATACAGTGAGAGCAAGTAGTTGAAATAGTAACAATTCCGTGAAGGCAGGGGGCCGTTGAAGGAAGCAGTTTACAAATTCAGAGCTCGAAAGTCACTCGATTTTAAGAATACAAGTCTAGATCAAACATAAGGTAAAACTATTAAACTTTTGCTAAATTTTGAATGAATCTTTTTAAGATCTTAAAAGAATCGCAGGGACAATTGCATGATGATTATTTTGATAAATGTCAGGATATACAATTGAAGGATTAGATAATTTACTAGAAAGAATGTTAGAAGAAAAAAGAATATTATATCTCAATTAAAAAAATACAAATTTACCATTTGAAGATTATGGTATTTTATTAAGAAAATATGATATTTATGTTATGAATTATTCTTATTTATTAGATCATAGAATGATTCTATACTCAAATATCCAAAATAGAATAAATAGAAGATAAAATGCTCAAAAGATTAAGATATATGTTGCAATATAGAAAGAATCATTTCATTAAGAATAATATAAACATTTTCATAAAAAGAAATAGTGACATGCCAAATAAAAAAATCTCCCCCTTCGATCATTAGGGGACCCGGCTCAGTTTGCATAGGAAAATCCTTCACTTCATACCTATCACCAACCAGCCTAGAATTTAGCTTTTCGTTACCCTCAACAGCAAATTCGAATGGAGCATTAGGGCTATACTCTCCATCCAGAAAGGGAGACCCCCACAAAGGAGCAGAATCCAACTGCACTCCTAGCCAATCAAGAAACTCATTTCATCAGTGCCTTCTTGTGAATGTTGGTCAACTTCGAGCAATTGTCTTCGCAGATCCAAACGTGTTCACAAGGTGGTTTGGTTACACAGGCTTCTATATGATCTTGGGGTTCATCTCACCGCTGCAACGCCTCTCGGATGGACTTCGGCATTCTTTCCCAACTCAAATTGAAAAGGGCTGTTTGAAGTGCAAGGGGTAAACTCGAATGTGATAGAACTATGCGTATCGAGCCTTTGAGATGTTTACCCAATAATTCTATTTATTTGATTTAGGCAGTGACATCAATAGTCTCGTGCCGAGCTGACAGACCAATAAGAATAAAGGTGCCGTCCTAAAGGTATGTTCGGAGTAGTTGTATCCATTTTTTATCAATACAAATTTATTTATTAAATCCAAAAATAAATAATAAAAGGTGCCGCCCTAAAGTAAGGGGAATTTAGAGCTCTTAATTCCAAAAAGTATTCGAATCGATGCTTAACTCGTGCCCCCAACCATGGGGGAAATCACACTTTCACTTCTTATCAGCTTCGCATCGATCACAAAACTATCTTCCAAATCAAAAGAAAAAGGGCTCGTTGGACATCTAGAAAGGGAGACCCCCAGTGAACTCATCCCATCTGTGCCTTCTTGTGAGTGCTAGTTGACTAACATCCTTGCGGGCTTCCTTGCCCCTAGACCATAGAGAATAAAGCCAACAATGCTATTCTGGACTCACTCAATGGTTGGGCTTGCCCTGCAAAGATCTTCTTTTGAATAGGAAAATTTCCGTTGCTCCACAAGCATTCATGGCAAAAAGCTATAGTTTTGCAGGACTCAGAAGAGATGGCAAGCAGTGCAAGATATTTGCATGATTTTTCAAGGTTCAAAACACTGTAGAAAAGTCGCAGAAGGCTTCCCACATGATAAATATAGCACAACTATAGCTACAAATTGTACTTTCCACACTTGCAACATTGCATGTATATGACTATTTTTGTCACATAGCTTTTCTTTTAATCACGTATAACATACTCATTTCTCTATTCTATACCTAGAACCAACCCCATTCCACTCCCCACAACATCAGGTAAGTGATCCCATCTTTAACATCAGGAGTAAAGATAGGAAAATCTGAAAACGACAATATGAAGCAAGAGAATATTTTCAGTTAAGAGAGAGAGAGAAGTGACACAAGAATTCTGATTAGGACTTCGAGACCATTTTTGCAACAGACCCACTAAATTGCCCAATATTTAGAAGTAGATGAATCAACCATGGAAATGTTATAACACCAAGAGGGATCGTTGTTTGTTCTCTTACTAGGCCCAAATAGTAAATTGGGAGATTGACTACATTCATTTTGAACCAAGATGTCGAAGGTTGATAATATTGTCCCGGCAAATATATGTACGCATTGCACACTTGTACCTAGAATACGTGAAGTATTATAATACATTCCTGTCTAGAAATGAATCATATGGTGAACAATACGAAAACTGGCAACATGACCGATGGAAAATCATCTATGATGAGAATTGTAAAGCTGTAGAGGAGATCTTTCTATCTGGTTTTGATCGTGGTTCTAGTACAAAACCTGTGTTTCTATTCAAGAACACTAGGCATCAAAGTATTGACATTTCATAGCTATGTCACGCATTGTCGTTGACAGTTAAGAGGCATGAATGTCAATTAGATGATCAAATTTAAGTTGAGTAATCAAGATAAATTGAAAATATAACTCTAGTGACGAGAAGCAAAATTTTTAAAACTCACTCTTGGTCCAGACTATCCTTCTCGTATATGCATAACAAACATCCCCAAGCAACCAAAACTCGTGAGACAATTCAGTAGTTACTACAGTAATTTTCCAAAAACCGAAAAGAATCCGGCAACAATTGATACGAATCTCACTTATGTGCATGATACATACAATACCCAACTAATCATGTGCTCCGGGATCCTGCTCCTTCATTGTCAAATGATCTTGTATGATATGTTGCGAGGGAGAAGAAAAGCACGATATCATCATATTCTTTTGCTTTTGCTGCAGAAAAAGAAGACTTGTTTGCGTGGAAGGTAACTTCTGGCCATGAGCAAGAGAGAGAATTTCTCTCTTTACACACAGAAGTTAGCGCAAGCACGTATCAGACCTTGAGAAATTTATTATTCTCGCACTCCCCATAGGCTCCTAACAGTAGTTGGTAAGGTTTTATAATACACTTCATCTTTCCAAATAAAGCCCAGAAACTGCTATTCAATGGCTGCTTGTATGGCACAAAGGATCATAATCATATGGATCTCCAGCTTTCACATAACGCCCCTTGACACGTTTCCTAACATCAGCCATGGCCTTGCGGTTAGGGTATCTTATCTTTCTACCAAACCTGTTCATATGTAAAAAAAACATTATTCCTTAAACCTCACGGTAAAACAGGTAGCAAGTCTCGTGTGAAATATGGAAAGGGGTGAATAAAAAGATGATACAGCATAGAAATGTGAACCATAAAACAAAAGAGATACAGTAAGCACTTTCATGATATCAATAATCAATAAGTTGATAAACGCTCGTATTCAATAAAAATTTCATCTGAAACAACTAAATTCCATATCCCAAATCAATAATTCTAACAAGAATAGTTAATATCACTTTCTGAAAAATCCTTTTATATTAATTAATTAAAAGAAGATTTTAGTATGTACAAGTACTGTATTTGATAAGTTTAAAGAAAGCATATGCAGACTTGAGTCATCATTTTACCAAGAGAGTGAAAAAACAGTATATACTTGTCCTACATAGGAAGTTGAAAACGGGTGAAACACAGATGCCAACATATGATGATATAAATCCAGCTAATCTTTATCGCTCCTTTCAAATTCTAGAAACAATGATATCTCTATCCATTTTTGGACCAGCAGCAAGAAACCATTAACATTTTTCCCATCTTCGAAATAGGATGCTTTCTTCCACAAATTCGGAACAAGAATAAGAACATATTTTCAACTTCTTTGCATGCTTAGTATGGTTAAGATTAACGATGATGAAAATAATGACAAATAATCAAGCGAAACAAAAGATTTTTAACAGCGACTCAGAAAATGAATTTCCAATCAACTTTTAAATCTAGAACAATAAACTTGTCTTAAATTTGTAAGAATTGTCCAGGGCATAAATTAAGTTTGGCACGTTCCTTAGATCATTTTGAAGGTTAAGCAACTAATATATAATTCATCTCTCTCCGTAGATTACAAATTATATAAGAGAGTTAACTGTACTTCTGCATTAGATAAGAAATTGCACGCAGATGCTAATTTTCCACATATTTGTCCATACTCCTGTATGGGGAAAAGAAAAATACTTTGATTCATTTCCTGAAATTCACTTACTTGCGTAACTTTCTTTTCTCCTTGTACCGCAAGACTGCACAATCCCTGCTGACTGATGGCAATTGACTTTCAGGACAGGAGGTAAGGCATTGAGGTTCCTCCAGCATAAACATCGAAGACATACCACACTCTTGGTAATCTCCGTTGTTACTCTCACCAGTCTGTCCAGAGAATGAAAATGACAGATTAGACTGTGCTTGTCTTGCAAAGCCAACGATCGGATAAGTTCTACAGCTTGTCACAGAGTCGGCAAATACTGGATTGCAGCATGTTGCCTGCATTGTTTGAAGACGTGACACAAATGAGCCCGGTGGGAGAAAAACATACTTGGTCCCTAAAGCTTCGTTGGAAAATAATCCAACTGATAAACTTAGACTATCTCTCAATATTTACAAAGGACAATTACCATATTTCATATTTGATGAAAATGAAAAGTTATCAGTTTGTCAAGTTGTCTAATTTATCCGTCTTTACTTTGCAGAACATATTAGCATACCAATGTTTTCAAGACCAAGTGAGAAATGTGTACACTTGTGGTCTATGTCATGAAGAAAAATGAAGATTACGAAAGCAACAACGCCTTGGCGAACATGTTTCCCATCCTTAGAAATAAAGTTTTATATTTTTCAAATTTCAAATCCTTTCTTCTACAAAAGAACCACAAACAAGTGCCTGCAAGTTCCTTCTCCATTAACATTCAAAATGCTAGCCGTGTAATGTGGTCAACATGGAGAAAAATTAATTCCAATCAAATATCAAAATTGCTACTAATCCCAGCTTGCCCAATTCTTCTTTCACTTTATATAGTAAAATATTTGTTCAACTGCATTCACCAAATTACTTGCTCTGACTTTCATTCTCCTAATTCATGTCAGGCACAAAGCGGATATTTGTAAAAATCTCAAAATATCAAATATCAAGAATTAGATGACTGCCCCTAAAATTTTAAATGTTATGCTACGAAAATTTAGCACGAGGACTATCGGTCTATTGGGTAAAAGTTTATTAATCTTTATGATCTGACTTCAACATTGTGGAGTACCATCAATCAGCTAAATATAATTGGATAAAAAATAAAAGACGAACTCCTCCAATCTGACCAACCTGTTTTTGGACTATTATCCAGCCATGAAAGACAACTATCATTTCTATATTTCTTTCAAAATAGACTTAAAAAGAGCTAATGAGAAGAGTGAAAAGCATTCAGGAACCACCAAGATTTTCACATCAGAACCAACATATGCCATATAGGAAAGAACACAGACATCAGCGTATTATTGCAAGTTTTGTTTACCATGAGTTTTTTGGGAACCTATACTTTATCTATAAACAATTGTCCGTAAAATCAGCTGTCAGATGCCTACTTGTCCTGTACTTTCTTGATCTTCAAGCATAGTTATTGAAACCACTGACCGAACGGTTTTAAAAATATATTTTAATAAAATTATGATTTAGCAATGACACACCTGTTGAACCCATGACCCACCAGTTAAACCATTAACCCAATGACTCGATGACTTTTCCGGGTCAACAACTGGGTCGAATCTGAAAACTATGTCTTCAACCATAAGCTCAAGGGATAAAGTTCCTAAATATACGACAGATGAAAATGTTTGACTCTCTTTTTGGATGCAGTTGGGTGCCCAAGGAATTTACTTGCCTTCGAGGCTTCTTAAGCTGCATCTTTACCATCAAATCTGCATGATCTCAAATTTTGTAAAACTTCAAAAAAGAAGTTCAATTTCTGAAATATTGATTTTTACTTTTTGATTATCATGCCACACACAATTCACAACTACAGTTAATGGTCAACTGCCAACTCAATCAAATAATGCAGTCACCATGCACCCAACAACAACTTCATTAGCAACCCTATATCCATATCTACATGTTCAGGTCATTGGAGCATGTCATTTTTGCATCCGAAATAATAATCGTTCACTCTGTAACTCATGAAAAACAGAATGGCAACTTGTAGAATTTCTAGCCAAAACCCTAAGTTAATGAGAAAAACATTTCAATGTTTTTGCAGCAAGAAGTGCAATAACCATTTATAACACTTTGTAAGAGGAATATGTATTTACCATGCCAAACATGGACCTTTCGGGGAAAATATCAAGAAACTTGACAATTGAAGGAGAGGGAGAGCAAGAAATGAAATTTGAATCAGCAAAGAAAGAAAGATAGCAAAGTGAATCATATTGCAACCTAGCAATAAGATATGGAGCAAACCTTATTGATTTCAGCACAACATAAAGTTGGAATTTCAAACAAGCTATCTAGTCCATCTAACTCAAAAAGCTGTTGCGGTGTACCAGGTGATCCACCAAAGAGCTCATCTAAGTTATCAAAACTCAAGTCAATATCTGAGAAGTTGAAGTCCTTGTAGAGGTCATCATCATCAGCAATGAGACCACTTGTGTAAGACAAACGTGCCTACGTAATTATCAAGCCAAACAATTTGCACTAGAAGTTAGAACTCGTTAAATAAAGTATCATAAAAAAATATAAAAAAAATAAATATGCTGCCTTTATGAAATACATATATAAAACAATTACCTTTCAGTAGAAAGAGATTCCTAAACAACAATACATAACTAAATACTATTGTGAATGGTACACCTTCGCCAGCACAACAAGAAAACAGTAAGGAAGAACTTATGGAAGTGAATCTCAAGGAGACTTCCAGTTAATTTAAGGCAAAAGGTTTTTATCAAGTCCCGTACTCACAAAAATAGCAAGGTTGTCAAGTCTATTATTGTTTTAGGTTAAAATAATTCTTGATTCTAAGAAAGGAAAAGAAAATTACTATTATTAATCTGAAAATGCTGAAGGAGGTAAGTATTTTGTACCCCTCCATCTCTTATTTTATTATTATTTTAAAAAAGTACTTTACTATGAACACGTTATGTTTTATTTCAGTAATACTTTTCCTCTGAAATCTATATTGATCTGAATTTTTAGTTTCAGCCTTGTCCATATACGTAAAAGCACAAAAACAATTCAGCAATCCTTTCTGGAATTAGTTGATAAATAGTTTAAAGGGATAATGAAGTTCATTACCTACAAGATGAAGGATAGTGATGGGATGATTCATTAAAAAGTCATTAGAGCGAATTGCAATTATTCTGTAATTTTTATTGGAATTGGGGTAGACAAAGAGATGAGACTTCTGTCAGAGTCAGGGTATGAGCTACTTTATTATTTGGTTGTGTTTCATGAGATTCAGGAGTTGGTTGGAAAGAAGATCTAGTTGATGGTAGAGGAAATACTAATCAGGACTGCAATGTTAGAAAGCAGACATACTTGAAGCAGGAAGAGTGACAATTGGGTTGTTGACTTGTTGTAGAACAGTACGCGTGGAGAGGGAGGATAGAGAGGACACTTGAATGAAAAAGTTCTAAAATTGATACTCTCTTCAGTCGTTGCACATTTATATCTTCTAAAGTGGCAAGATAGCAGACTAATGTACTGAATACAAACTTTCGACATCTGAAGACTTTTGTGCTTTCCTACCACCATTTATTTAACTTTCGAAAATCTAGCTTTCGGTTCAGCTAGATGGCTAGGGTTTTCCCTTGGTTTTTTTGTGGTCTGTTACCTGGGCTTCACAATTGATTGCACCATGAGCTTTCTAGTAAAATCCTAGTTGATAGAGGTTCCACAAAAATGGAAAGCTCACCAAAAATTGAAAACATACCAGCAGTAAGAGTAAAATAAGGAAAAGAGAGGTCACATACCTTCTTAGCATTTAGCCCCCAGTCGACCAACAGCAACAGCCAAAAGTAGCATAAATGCAGGGGAATCAGACCTATTATATGATAAATTCAAACTAGAAAGATTTTTTATTATTATTATTATTATTTTGAAAATTAAAAGCATAGTAGAGACACAACACCGATCTATATAATCACCTTGTATCAAAAGTAAATTAAATGGATGTAAGAAAAATATTTATGAAAGACTGTAATGCTCTCTTGGCATTTTTGCTAGAAAGAGAAGTCCAGAAATTTCAAATGAAGGTATAGCTCTATTTTCTGATTAAAGAAGAATTGGGATAGTGTTCATAAATAAGCAGCCCGCAGCATTATGAAATTTTCTTTCATTTTTTTCTAAGGAGTGGGCGGGGTAGGGTGGGAGTGTAAGAAAACAAAATCATACCTCAAACAATAATATAAGCCACTAGAAGCAAATTAATGGTATAAGCCATAATTAAGTGAGCGCAGACGAACAAGCGATCCATTCCCCTACAATGCTGTTGGTGCACTAACATTGTAGCAGACATTTGAGTACCTGATGTATTGAAGATTTGAAGCTGAATTGCTATATACAAGAATTGTGAATCAGAAGCTACCTTCTCGTCGAGAAGATTCAAGGAATCATTTCCACAAATTCGATCAGCATCAGAAGTCGCGGGATCCATAGCATCCTCTACTCTGCTGTATTCAATAGGCATAAGTTGACAGTGCAACAGGCTTTGATCTTCCTCTTCCAGACTCATCGAACCTGTTTCATGCTTACAACTAGAATCATCCATTGAAAAGAACGACCAAATTCTTGAAAGCTCACTTGCAGAAGGGCACCCAGAATAACAATTGATAGTTTGCCTTTTGTGCCCTGTATCTGAAGTAGGGTCTCCATGCCCATTCCAGTCGCAGTTTTGACAAAGTGATGCGTTCTCTGTGATACTTCTGACTACTGCAGGCTGAGAATTGCATCGCTCACAGACAAGAGTCCTCAAATGGAGCCTGGAAAGAGCATTAGCAGAATGAATGTTCCGATCACACGTTAAACATAAGCAAGCAGCATCTGATCTACAATAGACCGTGGATCTCTGCTCCGAACAGAAGTCACATAATTGACCCATTTTTACAGCCACTGCAACTATCGCCTGCACAAGCACGCTAGTTATATTTATTGATACATGCATCCCTATCCTTGGAAAAAAGTAAACTAGCAATTTGATAGACATCTTCATTCAGCTCAAAAAAGCATTAATTAAACATTGAGCATTGATCCAAAATAATGGGAAAATATCATGTTCTACAGCTAAGAGCAAGTTTGGCTTTGCTTAAATCATTTAGAAGTTTACTTATAATTTTCAATATAAATAATTTTATTATTGGCTAAAGCTAGAAAAAAGTAAGTCACTTATTTTGACATTAATGTAAGTGTTTAGTTTCTATGTAATTAATTAATTATTTTATCCATAGGTAACTTGTCCAAATAAGTTTGTAAATGAAAATTTACTAAAACAAAATCCATAAGGACGATTATGTTATCAAGAAATAGTATCTAAGGAATAAAGAAATAAATTCTATAGGAAAAATAATTCTCGAACGCACTGCAACCGCATGGAGGATTCTGAGCTACGGCAGGGCAATAATGCAAATCATTCAGAAAAAGTAAAATTGATCTTTTCATGAAAAGTTGCGATCTTGAAGCTATCTTGCAACTCAAACTTATTTGTTTCGACCAGGGCTTTGATTTTTACCAATTACAAAAAAAAAATATTTCTTTTAATTGTGATTTACAAATACAGTAGTACGTGTTTTATTAATTTTCCAGCTTTCCATAGATCTCAAACGCAGTGGAAAGCTGTTTGTTTCAACCCGGCCGTCGAACTTTATAAAATAAAAAAAATAAAAATGGATTTCTGTGTTAAGGATGAATACACCAACATGTGATTTGTTAATTTGCAGCTTTTCGTAGATCTTCAACAACAACAAAATAAACAACTGTTCCGTCTAAAGAAGAACAAAATAATTAGACGTGATTCAAAGGTGAATAATTTAATCAAAGCACGTAATTACCAGCTCGGGAGGTTTCTCACAACAACAATTGGGGGAAAATAGCAGAAATGCCTCCAAGTAGATGAGTAAATCAATTCACATGTGTTTTTAGAAACAGTAGTATATATTATAAAGATTGCTTGTGTGTGGAGATGGTGATTTGGAGCAATCGAAAAATGAACGGAGGAGAGGCGTACGGAACTTTGTGGTTCGGATCGGATAAAGTGCAAAAGGCCACGCTAATAAATATCTACTCGGCCCTTTTCTACTCCTATTTTACTGCACTTTTTCTGTTTGGCATCGTGCACTTTTTTTTGCATCATCACCGCACGTGTCGACTGGAAATCAAAGGCGTATTAGCCTATGAGGATATCCCACGAGCTTGACTCGACTTGTGTTCACGAGTGGACTCGATTTGACCCTGAGTTTAGTCGAACTGCTCGCAAGTCAATAATCTAACTCGGTTTTTTTAGAAGGTTAATAAAATAAATTCAAAGTTAAATACAATACGAGTCGATCCATTACATCGATATGATGTCTGGAATGATTTCAACATCCATGGAGATAAAATTATCCTCAATTCTAGCTTAATCACGGTGCCCCATTTAGTAATCAAGTCGCTAACACATTTTAACCGTGCTGCAAGCACGAATATGGATTGAAAGAGAGGGCCTATGGTAGCCATGGATATTCAAGATTTTGTGTATGTTTGGTATGGACTAAAATTAGATTTTTTTAGTAGATTGTGATATAAGTTTTTGAAATGTGTGGGTGAAAAGTTGTGGAACCATGTAAACTAGGTTAATATTGAGGTTATGCTACATGTCCATAATGTACAAGTGGTATAACATAATCGGAGAGTTAAAAAACAGTTTTTTCAAGCCTTCAATCATGGAATTCTATATGTAAATTATGGACACTCTTATGGATACTATTATGTACATATAGAATTATCTCGATTGTTTGATTTTGATTTAGATTAAAATTTGATTTTAATCTCTCCCAAACAAGCCTTTGAGTTGCGAACCATTCCCACGTGCCACTTGATCCTCTGCAAATTACACGCTCTAATTACTATTTTATAATATATTTAATAGTTCAAACGGATCAAAAAATAATGATGAATCTGGTTACTAGTGAAGAATTTTTCAACATGGAATTTTGTTATTTGAAAACTTTTATAGTTCTTCACAGTTTATGACATATTTGGTAGTGATTATAAGAATTGAATTTTTGTTGTTAGAGAAAAAATTGGATTCTATCTATAAATAAAAAAGTCAAAAATGACAGTTAACTATGTTAAATAAAAATAAAAAATTTAATTTTTTGGAGTGAAAAATCAAAACCAAACAGGGGCTCAAGATCTCCAACTCTCTTATTAAGAGGTCAAAAACTTTATTTACTTTTTTACATGATATAAGTGTCAATTTTTATATACAACTTCACAGTCATTATACAAATGTGTATTTTTACAGAATTGCTTTAGAACCTGGGATTAAATCCCAGGTTTCAATCCACCTCGGCTCTTAATCTTCAATCATGTGGGGCCCATGCAATTCCAGTGGTGCTACTTGTACAATGTGGACTTACGATGTGCCCTTACAATGTGACGTGGCAAGGGAAGACAAGACAAATTGATTAACCAAGTAAATAATTTCAAATTTGCTACAAGAATTGAAAGTAGCAGGAAGGCTTTTTTCTTTTCTCTCTCATACACGAGTTCAGACATTTATTTGCACCAGTAGCTACGAAAATTTCTCCTCCACATTGTACGCCATCGCCGGAGATGATCCTTCTCGGCGACCGCAAGTGACGCTTTTAGCGTTGCTAAACCATTTAGATTGCTCCTTCTTCACAAAGACAATGTACACAAAAAATACCCAAAATTTCTCGCCCACATTCTATGACACCGGCGAAGACTCGCCTTCTCGACACCGTCACACCCAGCCTCAGACCACCATCTACAGGTGCATGCCATCATTTTTCCCAACAATAGAGCAAATTTACAGAACAAAGCAAGCAACTGCGATTGACGTATTGTAGAAATTCGGGTTGAGCTCAACATTGTATTTCTCCTTCAAGTCCAAAGAGCTCGACCACTGATGGGTACAACCTCAAAACCTAGTTCTATATCATAGATAAGAAAAAATAGAGATTATACTTGTCATTAAGTTTGATATTATCACTTGATAAGTTAAATCCCTTACATTAATGTTAAATCCCTCATTTTAACAATTGTTCCTACAATTGTTGATATGTTCCAATGTGTTATTATGTTGACATCAATTTATTGGCTGCTCCGATAAAATATTTTTGTTCTCTTATATGATTGTTATGCATCAGTCTTGGAATTGTGGAGTGGTTAATTTTTGTTGAATGAGGACATTTAGTTTGGACGCAGGAGAAGAAATTATGGAAGTGGTAGAAGATAAGTCAAGATTGGAATCCGAAAATGCGAATGTGGAAGATAATATGAGCTTATGTGTGGATAAAATGAAAGGAGAAGAAGATGTGATTGTGCCCGAGGTGGGTATGAAGTTCAATGACAAAAATGAAGTTTATGATTTCTACAAGAGATATGCTTACGGGGTTGGTTTCCTAGTCAGGAAAAGGAATTCGAAGAAAGATGACGATGGAGTTCTGCAGTATATAACGTTGACATGTAGTCGTGAAGGACGACGAAGCAGTTCCACAAGCGATTCTTTGAAGCCGCAACCAACAATTCAAACAGGTTGTAAAGCTAGGATCTCTGCAGCTTTTGATTATCATGGTTTCTGGGTAATTAGAAAAGTAGATCTCAACCACAATCATAAGACGAGTCCTTTGAAGTCGAGGTTGTATCGATACAATTGAGAAATAAGTGCACATGTGAAACGAAAGATTGAAATAAATGACATGGCAGGAATTCCATTGCACAAGAGTTTCAACTCTACAGTTGTTGAAGTAGGTGGTTTTGAGAATCTCACGTGTGTGGAAAAGAATTGTAGGAACTATATCGAAAAAGTGAGGCGATTAAAACTTGGGGAGAGAGATGCTGCAGCAATACAGTCTTACTTTTTTGAAATGCAAGCACAGTGCTTGGGATTTTACTTTAGTATTGATTTGGACGAATAATCGCGGTTGAAAAATGTATTTTGGGCCGACAATAGGTGTCGTCAAGCATATAAAGAGTTCGGTGATGTTATCACATTTGATACTACATATCTCACTAATAAATACGGCATGTCGTTTGCTCTGTTTGTTGGTGTGAATCACCACGGTCAATCAACACTACTCGGTTGTGGTTTGTTATCAAATGAGAACATAGATACCTTTGTATGGTTGTTTAGGACGTGGCTTAAGTGCATACACGGTCGAGCTCCGTATGTAATAATAATCGACCAAGATAGGGCATGCAAAACGCAATACAAATAGTTTTTCCTAATATGAAGCATAGATGGTGTTTATGGCACATTCTAAAGAAGTTAACAGAAAAGTTTGGTTACCATGTAGATAAGGGTTCGATATTTTCGGCTATACACGTGTTGGTGTATGATTCGCAGACTGTTGAAGAATTTGAGGGTGGTTGGAAAATAATGATAGAGGAATATGAGTTGCAAAATAATGAGTGGTTGTCGAGTATTTACGACAATAGAGGACGATGGTTCCTTGCTTTTTGAAAACAACATTTTGGGCCGGAATGTCAACGACACAACGATCTGAGAGTATGAATGCTTTTTTCGATGGATATGTGCATTCGAAATTTCGTGGAACAGTATGAACTCACACTTCGAAATAAGGTGAAGAAGGAGTTCCAAGCTAATTTCAAGTCATTCGCTCAAATGGTTCCATGCGCAACTGGGTATGAAACTGAGAAGCAATTCTAGGCAGTATACACAATTTCAAAATTCAGGGAAGTACAAGCTGAGTTCACGGGGAAGGTATATTGTGACATTGTATCTTCTGTGAATAGTTGTTCGGGGACGACGTACGAGGTACACGACGATGTGCTATGTGGCGATCGACGGAGGAGAAAAACATTTGCAGTCTTATTTGAGAGAGAGAACTGTGAAATTGTATGTAGCTGTCACTTAATTGAGTTTCGGGGAATTATTTGTAGGCATGCGATCGCAGTACTCATCCGCAATGGCGTCACTATACTCCCGGATACTTATATACTACGATGATGGAGGAGGGATGTTAATAGAGCACACACCAGGGTTGCTGTTAACTACGCTGGGCTGGTAAGCACTCCTGGACAGTTGCGGTATGATAGAATGTGTCAGGCATTTGCTACCATAGCGGACCTAGCCGCAGAAGACGAAGCCTGGACCCATGCGATAATGGAATGGATTGGACTTTGGAGTTCAAAAGAAAGAACTTACGAGTTCAAGGTCGAGCATCGGAAGCAATATCCAATCGCAGCGCACTGTTCTAGTATCCTTGAATTTCACAAGGTCACAAGAAAATTCAAGTTGTGCCGTATTGGACCCTAAAGCTGTGAAAAAGAAGGGTACACCTAAGAAACTTCGGAGAAAGGGGTCGACTTCAAAGAAACCAAAGGTAAGTTGAAGTGTTATGTTCCCAAATAAAACTCATTCCTAACATTATGTCTCATTCATTCGACTATAAATGTAGGCTCCGTCAACATCATCGAAGCCAAAAGTACCAACTGAAAGGCGTTGATATGATCCAGGAGTCGAGCCCAACGAAGACAAGTGGAGACGAGACCCGTTAATAGTCGATGGCGGACCAATGACGCGATCAAGGGCAAAGCAAGTGAAACAAGCGATGGGATTGCTCGTTCAAGAAACCATTGATGGAACCATGTTAGAGACTCAAAATGGAGCAACTTTCATGCTCGAGTCGAAGGCCGAATCAACTTGAATCAATTTGTTATCAAACGATGAAACCGGAAGCTGAAAATAAGCCTGTGCGACCGCACAGCAAAACACTATGCGGCCGCACAGTGGCATACCGAAACTTAAATTGGGATTTTTTATTGAACCATGCGACCGCATGGAAATACACCATGCTCTCGCACAGGCAAAAAACTTGGCGAATTTTCCAATTTTGGCAATTTTCCATATTTTGTTAGATTTTGATTCTTTTCCATATTTTGGAGATTATGCTTGACTTTTGCACGATTTTTACCTAGTTTTTAGGTTTAGTATAAATAGGAGTTTCCATTCAATTGTTAAAAACCTTTGACATTATTGATATTGAATTAAAGTGAGGCGTATTGTCTTCTCTTCATCGTTCTTTATTGAA